CTTGGTGAAAAAACATCAAGCTTACACATCATATTTAACCCAAAAGCAAAACATTAACAAATTTTTTTTTTTTTAACATAGTCCTGCAAGGAAAACATATTTTAATGCACTGGTCCTATAGTTTTTGAAAAATCCCTTTATTTTTTATTGATGAGCAATAAATCTAGCAGAGTGCTGTAAATAATGCTACTCACTCTTCTCAGAGCTTTTATAACATCTTCCTCACACCCAGGTCTGTAGATGTATACACACACTGATTGCCCTCAATCCTCCTGAACTAACCACCAACCTGAAAATGTTCTGGTGTATGTGTGAGATATGTAAGATATGTTCACGATATGATGATGGCAACACTGTAATTGTATGAATCCAGGTCTGAAGACCTTGTTGTACCTCAAGAGCCTGGAGCTGAAGGACTGGGACGGCCAGTCTCCTCCAACAGAGAGACACCAGAAAGGAAAACCAGTTCCCAGACTGGAAGAGCTGGTTGGACAGGTATCGCTACTTACTCCTAATGTTTCTATTTATGTAATTATACTTTTATTATATTATTTTAACCACTACTGTAAAGAAGTAGTTAATAGGTTGTTTGGTCCTGAATATGCCTGCAAGAAGAGACACCACCCATCTATTTAGTTAAATCTAATCTGTCCTCTAAACAGTCGATTGTTGCGTGTTTGTGTTTGCGTGTGTGTGTATAGAGCCTCCCCAGCTTTGGTCCATACCTCCAGAAGAGGACAGAGGCCCTTGCTAAGTACAAGAAACAGCTCAGAGAATCTGTGAAAACTGATGTCATAGAAACCAACGTCACTCGGGTTGACCAACCCAAAAGACCCGTCCCTGCTGTCAAGGTGGCTTTGGCTTTTTTGAAGCTAATGTACTTACATGATTCTTGCTGTTCTGGGTTTGTACCCTCATGGTTGATGCACTTCTTGGAAGTTGCATCAGCTAAATGAAATGCAATGTAATATAAAAGGTGCAACATACACACATACATACACACAGTATACACACACACACACACACACAAACACACATTCATCATATTAATCTAAATGCTTTTTTCTGTGATATATGTTTCTAAGCAAGTATGCATTTGTGCTTTGTGTGTGCTGTGTATGTGTGTGTGTGTGTGTGTTTGTGTGTGATTATGGCTGTGTTTGTAGGATGTGATAGCCAGAGCGTTGCGCTACATTGGAGCATACCAGGATCTTAGCAACACAGAGCAGGTATGACTGTTTTTCTCACATCTTATGGCTTTTTTATGTTCTTAGGATTAAAAAGGTGCATCTGATGTGACTGTCGTCAATAAAATTAACTGAAGGGATAGATTTCTATTCTTACATTCTTGACAGAAGAAGATAGAAATGTGTGAGTTTTGATGCACAGTAGTAATCATCTTTAGCATTGACCATATATAAAGATGGACATTTATAAAGATGGACAACATGATGGCTCCCAAAAGTGAAATCAAATAATTTGGATCCCCTCCTGGTGGCTTGTGGCAGGATAGATCATAAACTCTGCCTCCTTCATGTTAGTGGATGAGACATGGACCAAACTAAAAAGTCAGAATACATGTTGAATAAATCTCCATCAAATGTGTTTTATGTCATTATATGTAATTGTCACACTAGTGTGTTCAAATGTCTGGTTTCAGTTAACTTTGAGATGCTTTAAAAACAGGGTGACACGTTATGATTGAGAGCTGAGACTGACTTGTGATTTGTTGAGCACATGTATCAGCAGGACCTCAACACCGCACCTTCACTTTGCAGACTCTGCCTCCAAATTATGTCATCAGTATAAGATGCTAGCACCTGTATCCAGGATATTTTGGCTACATTATTGTACAGTGGGAGAAAGTGGAGAAACATCGTCCACGTCAGTGATCTATTGTCCCACAGTAAAGGCAGCCTCTACCAGAGATAGGTCTTTCTAATATAAGGTTGCAAAATAAATTGGTTGTGTAAAAACTGACAGATAAAGTTGGCAAGTCAAAATGTTTTTCAAGCATCTTTTATATTTACACTCAAATGAAGTCTAACTTAAATAAAGTTTATTTAAAGAAGATGACCACAGTGTGAGCAATTTTAGCAAAAACAGAAAGGCAGCAAAGCCTTATTATGTCTTTGTGATGCAATGTTCAGTTTTATATCAGAGCACAATGTTACTGCTACAGTTTTAGCCACGATATGTAGAATACTTCTCCAGTTATATTAATAGAGGCTCTCTACACTGTATCCTTGGTGTTTTGGCTGCGGTCACGAGGGAACTTGGACCACTGAACTGCTCAAATTGTAGAAATGGCAGAAAATAAACCAATTGTTCGAAAGCTTGATTATTGATAAGTCAGTCAGATAATCAGTTGTCCTAACCACCTACACTGCACATCAAATCAAAGTCTAATTTTGTGGTTAAAACTGGGCAAAATCTGAACAGTGGCAGTTTTTGTTAAGTTTAAGAATCTGTTCTTATAATAAACATTTTGGGTAAATAAGAAGGATGTTCATTTCAGACCACTGCATCTAAATATTATCATATGTTGGTGAGAGACACGAAGTACTAAATATATATATTTTATATTAAGATAATAATAATGACTGTAAACGATCCTAACCCTGACCCTCATCTGTATTCTCAGGTCCAGGCTCTGATTGACGAAGAAATGTGTATCAACTGTGGCAAATGTTACATGACCTGCAATGACTCTGGATACCAGGTATGTGTGTCTGCCTGTCACATGAGGATTGTAGTCTCTCCTTCTGCTTGTTTAAGGCTGCCTAATTCCTGTAACACCCATTTTCTCCCATACAGGCCATAACGTTTCATCCAGAAACCCACTTTCCGTTGGTGACTGACAGCTGTACGGGCTGCACTCTGTGCCTCAGCGTCTGTCCAATCATAGACTGCATCAAGATGATTGACAGGACAACACCCTATCATCCTAAGAGGGGCGTACCCATCAGTGCCATCTAAGAGAAATCAAAACTTTATATGGGCTAAGTAATTTTCTGTTTGAGACATTGTTTCCTGTTAATCTGATTTATCATTGGATGATGTAAAGTGATCGAAAAATGACATCCAATATGAGTATCATCTTGAGAGAGAGAGAGAGAGAGAGAGAGAGAGAGAGAGAGAGAGAGTGGGGGTTTATTGGAAAATTTTATTTTAGTAGTTCTAGCTAGGTAGAAAGAGGCAAACATTTTCAAGTTAAATAGTCATCATAGAGACATCGAAATTATTTTTTCAATAATATAACTGTAGTTCTGATTTAGATTGCTTTAATTGTAATTCTTGCTTTGTTGGTATCCTTCTGTCCTTTGTGTTGGTTGTGATGATGGCCTATTTCAAATGAAATTACCTTTCACCGTATATGAAGTGTATTGATGTAATCGGAAATGCATCTTTAATACAGTATAGTCTGTGATTTAAATAAAGGTTTTTTGACGCAGCAAACCATCTGCGCAGAGGAACACAAGCCAATATGATTCTTCTAGAAATCAGACACAAACAGGAAAAACCGACTAACCGAACTTATATGGACCATGTGTTATAAAGGGGTTGGAGGATTGGCAGTAATCTAAAGGTCAGAAAAGAACCCACAACCAAAGGTCTTTATGAGGATTCCAGAGGGAAGGTGCCTGTTCTTCTTCCTCCTCCTCTGAAACCATCTCGCTCATTTACATGTGTCATTAATATTCATGACTGAACATTTTTACAGATGAAAACTACAAAAAACACTGAGCGGACTGCTTGTGTTGCTTAAGTAAAGAAGAGAGGGGAAAATACATTTAATTATTCACAATGTAAGTTAATAATGAGGTGCATCAATAATCAGGGAAATATTTAACATTGTCAGGATATTTTTTCCTAATTAAAACATCAGAAGGATTAGTTTTTATTTCCAATCATCACAGAGTCTCTTCATTTTAGTCTGAGCTCCAGTGACAGAATAAAAGTGTAAAAGCATCAACACTGTGAGGATTAGATCATCGTTCAAATGAAATTATGCTTTAAGTGTTGTCATATATTTATTTATTGCAATAAACTCAGTCACTATTTGCTGGATGCTCTGTTTTAAAACTAGAAACTCTGGAAGATTAACGTGGTTCCACAAATCTAAAGAAAATCAATTGCTTTATATTATGAGTTACTTAAATATAAACTCTTAAAGTAATGGCTTCAGATGCCTCACGAGTTTGAGCCTTTGGAAATGCTGACTTACTGAGCCAAAATAATCTTGATACACTAGCTGATAAAAGATATCCAGATCTCTGTTTAAATGGAGGTTCCATTGTAAAAAATGAATTTTAAAAAGTAAGAATTGTAAGAACCTATGATCCAGGCCTTACAGTAGCTGATCATTTTTGTGATTTTGTTTCCACATGTTCTTCATTTTGTTGACTGATGTTCTTCATCAATCTTTTGGCAGTGCGTTCTGAGACATTCAGATTGTCTGGAACAAAAATTGGATCAGCTTAGATTAGCACTTTACCCATTTCCACAATTAACGTTTTTCCTCATGGATTTGCAGTTTAACATTTATTGTTAGTCATTAAAGTAAAACTATTAGAGTTATTGTAGGTGCAATATAAATAATATGCATAGCATACATACCTCTTACAGTCAAACTGCCATTATTCTATGACATAGTTTTTGAAAGCACAAACAGGATGCACACAAACACACACACACACCCACAGATGCACTTTGCTCTACATTACTGTGCCTTCATAATGCAGTCTTAAATATGTGTATCACCAGATCATCTATTGTTAATGCACAGGCTAGTACCCGTGAACATGTACGAGTTTTGGGGGGGGGGGAGATCCCATGTGGGCCATTAACAATGGAAAGACTTGAACTGGTTACAGAGATGGTTCGAGCATTTAGGATCATCAATAATCACTCTTGGAATATCATACATTCGAACTAATTGAATGAACAGGGAGTATGAAGAAGAGGACACGTGAAGCTTGCCCTCCTAGACAGTAGGTGGCGGTAATACATCTGACGTCACTGTTGGTTCCCAGCAGCCGGCACCAGTCGAGAAGAAGAAGAACGCCCATTTTGCTCGCACTGTACGTCGAGGAGGGCTGAAATATTATCAGACAGAAGAGGACAAAGAGCTGCAATGGACGGGTAACTGTGTTCACCTCACCAGTACAGCCTCTCTGCGCACCGCGCTGCTCCGTGCGTGTGGCAGACACACAACGAGCCGTCTGCCGCACTCAGTTTAGCATGTGCTAACTGTTAGCTCAGGCGCGAATCTCGATACTGACGTTAGCGACCGAACAATACCGAGCCCCCACCAAGAAACGTGGTGGGTCATTGTTGTGTTGCTCCCGGGGACGTTTGCATGTACCGATGAGCATGACTCATCCTACACATAATTTAGATTTCTAAGTTCCGGCAGTGTAAGAGATGGCAAAACATTGTGATACGGGTAGCATAGTATCACCTTCTGTTGTCCGTATAATGAATGCTAACGTGAGTTAACGCTGCTGCCGGTGAGAGTAATATGTATTCATTCTGCGCTTGAAACACTGCCACAGTTTGACCAATTATTGAATCTACGACTATCTACCAGCCCGATGTGTTATAAATAAACCACATTGTGTCCGAGGCGGTTTGTGCACCTGTCATTTCGTAAAGATCCTTTGTTTGGAGCAGATGTGGGTTTGCACGCAACCTGCGAATGTTGTTTACAGCGTTGGTTCGGTAATCTGCAGAGAGCAGCCACAGCATGTGAGGTTAGAACACGTGAGATACATGAACATGATTCAAATATTGAGCAATACATTTTGCTGTTACTGTATATAATATCAGTTCTCCCGTTTGTGAGGATGTTTAAAGCAGGTGAGCTCCATTGTGGTGTTTGATGGGAGCGATGCGCATTGGAAGCCAGCTGATGAGAGAATGCTACTTTGTGTATTTGCCACAGGGTGTTATTGGTTGTGTTTAGGATTAATGTTGTTGCAAAGAAATGTGAAATTGTATCCAGTCAACATAGTTAGGTCATAGTTTTGTCTCCGGGACTTCTCTTTTTCTTTTTTCTGTTTATGATCATGATAAATGTGCAAATGCTCCAGGGTCAGCTGCTCTTCTGTAGGATCTGTGCAAGATGTGAATCTTCCGACCTGTTGTTTTTTTTTGCAGTGTTAGCCATACCAGTGTCTTTTCGTTTTTGCAATGGCTGTTTTTGCACTACTGTAAGATATGGCAAGGACATATGCCAGCAATGTCTGCAGTTGATGCCGTGTCCTTTGCACATATCAGCAAACCAGCGAAAGGCCTCAAGCTATACATATCAAATTACATTTACAATCCTGCATGTGAGTAATGTTGGTTGTAATGACTGCCCAGTGAACATGCGTGCATACTTTCATGTGCACAGAGAGGGCTTGTGTGCCTTCCTGCTGAGAACTGTTGTGCCATGTGCACAGAAAAAGTGGTATCTACCAATATTATGCTGAATTCTGCCTGCCTGCTGAGGATGGTTGAGTTGTTTTGACAGGCCACTGATGTGGTGAGTGAGAACATCAACAACAGGGCAAGAGGCTCTGCACACAGCTCCACAAAGAAGATGAAGAATTGTTTTATCATTATTTGGTTGTGGTGGACAATAGTGGGCTGCCACAGTCTATATAATTATTGGGAAGCAGTGCACATTAAAGTTGCTCCCCATTAAGGAAGTAGCTTTTCTTTGAGGGCCCACTAGTTGACTGCTGTTGATGCAGTTCAGGTTGTCACACTGCTCCCCTATCATGATACTCCATCAGGTCTACTTCTAGCAAACTACAGACTTAATCCCTTTGCATGCACGTTTAATTGTTGAACATCTGCTACTTAAGGTCTATTCAGGTGTGGGACGTGTACACAAAACCAAGTGTGCTACTAGGGGTCAAACTTCTTTTGAACATTGGCATCAACCCAGACGTGCTTCCTCACGCTTTGTGAAAGTAAGCCATGTTAGACAGGTCTGGACAACAGCTGGCTAATAGGATATTGCCAGGGATCAATCAAATGACAGTAATGAAAAGAGGCCTTCAAATGAAACAGATGCCCACCAGGACTTCTGCCAGATAAGGAGGTTTAACTTACTGGTTTGTAATCCTCCCTGATTATCCATGATTTGGACTCAGCACCAGTTGGCGTTGTCTTTGGCTCTAGAAAATCATCAATTTGGCAATGTAGTTAGAAACTCCAATGTGAGGAGCTATGTCGACTACCTACACCTTAAAATGCAAAGTGGCAAACTGCAGCTAAAGCCACAGCACGCCTCTTACTGGTGCAAGGACAGCTAATGATTACATTTGGTGTATGCAGAGAATGACAATCTGATACACAACATCTACAAAGGCAGCGACACGATTAATGTGCTTAAAGAAAGAGCAGACCATTTCCTATCATCCCCATTTTCCTGGAATATCTGTGATGAAAGAACGCCTGTCATTACTTGACAGCGTCGTTTTTTGGAGCAATGAGATGCACAACAGATAAAAATCATAATCAGGACATTTTATTTTCATTTTTGGTAACCTTTAATAAAATTCAAAATGAACACATTAAATTTAAAATACAGATATGTCAATGTTGACACGTAAAAATCACAAAAACATAAATGGCATATAGTTCATGCTCCTATGGACATTCGTATTTTGAAACAGAAGATCAAGACACAGTTGTGAGATATTCTGTGAACCAATATAACAGATGTAGATAGATATTTCAAAATGTGTCCTTTAGCACGCAATTTTTATTTTAACATGAAATAATCTTTTGATTATCTTCCTTAGTACTTGTGATTGTCAGATCACAATTTCCTTAAGTGATTTTGTTTTTCATTCACCTTACTCAGACTTTCAGATCAGGTTTAAACACAGCTGTAGCCATGGTAAGAATGGCATTGGTTCTGCCGTATCAAACCATTTCAAACCAAACTTGTCGACAGAGGGTGTGTTACAGGTTACTTGGTGACTCAAGTGCTCTATGGGAATAAAGCCAGGAATGCAAATTGGTGTTTCAGGCTCAACAGGAGCAGGTCTGGTCTGACTGTCGGTGATCACTTGGGTGTCTCAAACTCTGGGTTTAGGGAGTTGGTTGGGGAAAGTTAACTGTCAGTACTGCAAATGTAAAGTTATTTTCCAGAACAGTACCTGAAGTCAGCAGTAACGATATCAGAGTTCTGTTGTCACTTCGAGAGTTCCTTGCAGGATTTGACTGAGAGTGTATCAGACCAATAGAAGAACATTTGTCCACAGTGGGTGTTGATCAGAGGAAAAGGGGTTTATGAAGTGATACATGTTGTGATTTTGGATGCAAATCACATTTCTTTGCATTTTACATTTGAGCTGTTTGCTGTTATCCTTTTGAAAGGTGGTGATTCTGTGTTAAGGTTTGTGTTGATTGGTTTGCGACTTTATATTTTCTCTACAATTTTAATGCAGTAATTGAGGATAAAACCAGGAGGATGCAGATATGAGTTAAATCAATATCAATGTTTAGAAATATTTCAGACATTGCTGAATTCTTGAATCAAACCTGTTAAATGGCTGTATGCACTTCTACGTATGTAAAGAGCCAGTCATCTAAAAAAATAAGCATTTGAACACCTGCATTGTTTTTTTTTTATTTAAACCTTGGTTGAATAGAAGTAATATGACACACTTTCATCCAGGTTTTACTCTTACCATTTTCCTTCTCTTTCTTTTTTCATCTCAATGTATTCTTTCCATTGGCAGAGATGTCGCGGTTGGTGTGAAGGCAAGTTTTCCAATTTTATTTGACTAATTTTACATGAACACATGCATTTGCTTTGTCTGCATTATATTGTTTAACCATGGACTGGATGTACAGTTGATGGCAGGTCTAAATAATTCATATCAAGTGTAAAGTTAGAAGAAAGACAGCCCACTAAAAAGATAATATAGGATATTAACCACAATATCATTAAGCTAAAAGTAAAATGATTGGCTTAATTTATAATTGTGTCTTTTATTTGTTATGGTGAGAAATAACTGTTTGTTTGTTTTCACTTAACTTTGCAGAGAGGCTCAGATGAGCTCAACATGTATGGTAGCAGTCCCAGCTCTATGACCGGTAAGATCCACCTTAATGCTGATGGGAGTGGAAAACACAAACCGCATTATTTGAAGCAATAATCCACAATATCTTTAAGTAGGAAGAGTGATCATGGGAACACTTGAAACAGAGCAGCTTTGGACATGTTAGACAACTTAAGTGCATTATTTGTCTTTAACCTTGTGTGGGTGGATGACATGCCAACACAGACCAGGGACCTGAAAAACCAGAATATTATAACAACAAGCCTTGGACTAATTCAGTGCTAGTATTCTATGGTGCATATTTACCTTGGCTTCATTGGACTTCATGTTTTAGGTAACATGGCTCTAATCAGAAATTTATTGTCAACCCTGTTCATACCTGGCATTTACATTTGTCTCTGAAGGCAAGTAGAGGTGGGAACACACCCAAGACACATTAAAGAAGCATTCCCAGGGCCCCAGAGTGCGAAGTGCGAGTCGTGTCACTTCCTCCTCTCCTCTCCTCTCCTCTCCTCTCCTCTCCTCTCCNCTCCTCTCCTCTCCTCTCCTCTCCTCTCCTCTCCTCTCCTCTCCTCTCCTCTGCGGAGTTTGCACTCACACACAGGCCCTGGGCCGCTGCATCAGGATCAGAGCAGAATCACCGATTGCTTTGTACCGAATCTCCTGTCTGGGTGTCCTCGCTCCTGCTGACCTGCACTCACTTGACTATTTAACAGTAAACACCAACACACATCACAAGTTATTAGGATCTGAACAGAACTGTCTCTAAAAGCAGCAGCAATGCATTTGGTCTTTGCAAACAGCAACGATCACATGTTTATAGAGCAGGGAAGTGCGATCCAAGCATTCTGATGCCATGTGTGAACTGCTTTACTTAGACTGATCCACTTGTCCTTAGATCCCCCAAAGACACATGTTAATGCCATGTGTGATCAGAGCTAAGTCAAAGACTATGCTGAGTTTTGTTTTTTGTCTTTGTGTGTCCATATTCAGCGAATGGCAGTGACAGTAAGAAACAGCGCTTAGATGAATCACCTCCCTCCAGAGTTCTCCACATCAGGAAACTTCCCAGTGAAGTGTCAGAGACTGAAGTCATTGCTTTGGGGCTCCCCTTTGGAAAGGTCACCAACATTCTGATGCTCAAGGGGAAAAACCAGGTACACTATAGCAAATGTCTAGACTGTCTGCCAATCATTTGATGTGAAAATGCAGTACTCAAAACAGTGTTGAATTTTTGACTCAATAATATTCTCTAGATGTGGGGAAATTAATTGTTTTTTTTCAATGCATCGCGATGCAGACGCGGACGACTCTGCATCGATGCAGACACAGAACATAATCGATTCATGTCTTTCGCCATGTTCATTGTTTTAGCAATGTCCTGCCGCTGCATAATTAAAATCACCGCTGCTTCAGGATCAGGACAAATGAACATTAAAGGTCCGGTTGTCTTTTACTGTGTCAGAGTCTCCTGTCTGAGTGTCCTCCCTCCACTCTCCTGCTGACCTGCGCTCATTTTACACTCAAACAATCAGAAGTTATTAGGATCTGAACAGTGCTGACGTTTACTTTGTGTTTGTCGATTCGCATTTAGAGTTTATGAGGCACTCAGCCAGGACATCGCTGTTAAAGTGACCGGAGCAATCTGGATTCATGATCTAACACTATCGATTAACAACAAAATACATGTGGTTATCAGTTTTTGTGAGTGACAGAGATGGGCAGACATACAAATGCACACAGGCTACACACAGAAGAGAAGTTTTTCCAGCAGATTATCACACAACTTCTTTGTTGCAGAATAAGTGACACCCCGCTTATCTAGGAACATAAATAATAATTCAGCAGGTTTTTATAAAGATCAACTCGCTGTAAGTGATTTGAAAAGAGCAGAGGAGCAGAGTCTCTTGTTGACCAGCGGTTTAATGCACAGAGATGCTGCCAAGGGGGGCCAGGCATTTCTGATTTGAAATCTTTATTTTGTAAATGAACGCACTTTACCACAAGGCTAGTGAAGATGCACACCTCAAGTAGTCACACAATGATTTAGTAAATCATGTATAGAAATACAATTTTCTCATAGAATCGTAGCCCTCTGAATCGAAACGTAAGGTGCCTTGAGATTCCCACCCCTAATATCCTCCTTTCCTGAAGAAGATTAGCCAGTAATGCCTAACTGTCCTGGAGCTGATTCATTCATTGAAACTTTTGCTGTGTTTTTCCAGGCGTTTCTCGAGTTGGGTACAGAGGAAGCAGCCATTACTATGGTGAACTACTACACAGCTGTCACACCACAGGTCTGAATCATCCTCAATTCATGTTGAACTTTATTCTTATTTTATGTGTTTATTGCAAGGGATACTAACTGGTCTCACTGTATTTAGGTCAGGAATACGTCTGTCTTCATCCAGTACTCCAACCATAAGGAGCTGAAAACAGATTCCGCTCTAAACCAGGTATACAAACATACAGAGACATGTGGACAATGTGTTTCTACCAAACCAGAAGGTTAGACTTAATCAAGATTTGATGTCTTTTCCTCATCGTGTCCATATTTGTGTTATTCCACCCAGAGGGCTCAGGCAGTACTGCAGGCAGTGACAGCGGTTCAGGATGGGAGTTCTCCATCTTCTGACCCAGGAGTTCTGGACCTAGCTCCACCCCCCAGCCCTGTCCTGCGAATTATTATTGACAACATGTTTTATCCTGTGACTCTGGACGTTCTCCAACAGGTAAAACCTGAACACTTAACTTAAATCTACTAGTCAGATTGATGATTTGATCTTCTTTGGTACAAAAACATCATCATTGAAGCAAACCAGAAAGGGGAAAGGGGAGAAAGGAAATGAGATTTGTTTTTAGGCCTGCTCCACAAAAGTTGATTCTTAAGGAGACGAGATCCTGAGTTGAGTCAAATCGCTGCAATTTGGTTAAGCTGCATCACCGTAGTCAGCAATGCAGCATGGTAGGATGGGTGATAGATATAGAGGGTAGCAGACCGTCCGACAGAGTGAGACAAGGCACTATGTTTATTATCTTATGTTGCTTATTTTTGGGTGTGGGTTTGATTTTATGTACAAACTGTTTGATTGATTAATGTGACTCTTGCAGATCTTCAGCAAATTTGGCACCGTGATGAAGATTATAACCTTCACCAAGAACAACCAGTTTCAGGCTCTTCTTCAGTTCAGTGACCCAGTCAATGCACAACAAGCAAAACTGGTAGGATCCTACTTATGAAAATTAAAGTTATGTTTTTTCTTCTTTTTTTTTTTGCATTACATTATTATGAGTTCTGAGCTTTTAACAATGTGCTTATGTGTGTGCATGTAAGAGGGCAGGCTTTCACACTCCCATTGTCCTTCATTTCCCTTAGTGCAAGCAGCTTTTACAATTCACCTCCTTTCTGATTTACAACATGTGATTTACATCTTCTGTCTAATATTAACTTCCTTAATATCAGTGTTGACCTAAAATACTTTATCAGTCATTATGATTCCCTCTGTCTCCTTCCCTTACACAGTCTTTGGATGGACAGAACATCTACAATTCATGTTGCACTCTGCGGATAGACTTCAGTAAACTGGTCAACCTCAATGTGAAATACAACAATGATAAGAGTCGAGATTACACCAGACCAGACCTTCCTACTGGAGATGGAGAGACATCCAACAAGGATCATTCTCTCTTGGGTAAATATACGTGTTGACCTGTTTACATTACACAATTTCATATCTCCCCACAGGGTATCAATAATACTTTACAGTTACATCTGTGTCCCTGCACATCTGCACATTTTTTCCCTTTAAAAGCTATAAACAGCATTAAATGTGATCCATCTGCATGTTTATCAACTCTCTCTAAAACGTCAAACTTACACACAAAATATTATTTATAGAGTGATGAATGTTATTATTTTTCCTGTTTCAGTTTCTGTGTAATGCTGTATCTTATTATTATTCAGGGTGACAGGCTGATTGGATTCCTAGATGCTACCAGCTAATTTTGCACTCTGAGCTAACTGGAGGGTTTCCAGTTTCCACATATCAGCCTCACATTAATTGTGTGATATGTGACCTTAAACCATGGATTTCATCAATTGAGAAATCCTCCATTTCTTAAATCTAGGTCACCTTTGTAATGTATATTGTTTATATTCCAAAGGCTCCAAAAGAGGAAATCCAAACAGTCAGACACTGCATTGTGCAGGCCTCTCATAGGCCACTCCATTTATGGGGACTTTCCACATGGCTTCTGCTGGTGGTGATGTGTTTACTGACAAACTGTTTCTGTAGCAAATGGTCAAAAGCAACATCATCTGTTGTAGGAGTTAGGTTTAATGGGAATTTAAAATATGCTAAGAGAGATAATTAAGTGGATGGTGTAGATGGTTTTGATACAACAGTTTCATAGCCGAATGCAAATTCTATGTAATCTTTATTGTGCTTCATTGCTTTGAAGTACATACACTGTGATTTATTTTTAACTACAACAGACTTCCACCTTTAACTGAAACAGAAATAGTTGTGGCCCTACTCTCTTCAGTGAAGTCCTCTGGTTGTGCAAGTTGTTTTCACTTCATCTCAGTGAAAGTTTTACTTTTAGAAATATCCTTGTACTTCATGGCTTAGGTTATGTTCTGACATGCAGTGTGAATTTCGTGACCTTATATACATAAGTGTGTGCCTTTTCTAAACTATCTCTAACTGGTTGTGTACAGTACAATTCTCGGCCCATCTCAATGATAAATCAAGCAAAGTGGATGCAATGGACCTCAAGGTGTAATTTAACTCAAGTTTTTATTGTCTGGTAGGTACCCCATCTGGAGCCCTGGCTTCCTACTCGAGTGGAGGAGGTTACTCATCTTCTCTCTCCCTCTCACAGGGTGGAGGTACCAATCATTTCATTTTTCAAAATGTTGTTGTCTCTGCTGTTTTCTGTCCTGCTGCTGTCTCTTGTGTGCTGGGGGTTGTCTGAATGTACCAGGGCCATAGTGGTTTGTTGATATTACAGCTTTATCAAAGTATCATGCAAATACTGGACTGTAATTAGTCATTCAATGTCATTCCATGACATTTACATATCAGTCATTCTTACATTTTATAGATAAGATAAGGTATATTAAGATATTTTGATTACAAATTAAAGAAAGAATCTTTAATATCACACTTACTCCTCCTCCTTTGGCGGTTGCAGAATTATAATTATCTGTTGATTTTACTTGAAGTGAATACTGGTCAAATGAGATGGTTAGATATTAGTAGTTTTTTTATTTATATCATTGTATCAACTAACCAAGCATTCGAAACAAATCGCATTTCCCCCCACAGTGACATGCAAGCTCATTGCTCTGAACCCTTATCAGCTTCTTGTCTGAGATTCAGGTTGGAATTAAAGTGGGAGAGTGCATTATCCACATAGTTGCGGTAGACAGGAATGAGAACAGAGTTTGCAAACGTCATGCTCTGATTAGACTGAATGTCTCCTACAATACACTGAACATTATGCACATTACTGAAATTACTGAAGCAGCTATACTGACCATTCCTTCCCCCTAGAATTCTGCATTGCTAGCAATTGCAACTTCTCCAGTTTACCTGTAGACATTAATGTATCTTTGCATGAAACTGCGTTTGTTTTAGCGCTCTTGCAGTTAACTTCAACTCTCTGATCTGTTTCTTGTCTTGTGTTTTCCTAAAAGGAGCCATCAGCCCTCTGAGTGCTGCAGCCGCGGCAGCAGCAGCTGCGGGTCGCGTTGCTCTCTCTGGGTCCGGAGTGTCAGGAGTCCTGTTGGCATCCAACTTAAATGACGAGGTAAACTAACCATAAATATAATTTGTCTGTGAATGAGCATTCCAAAGCTCTTCTTTAAGTAACTCCTTACAGCTATTGAACAAACAGTGATAGTGTGACCATGTTTAAGATGGATTAAAGCTACACTGTGACTGTGGATATAGAATAATACTGAAATCATAAAAAGGGGTTACCAAGTACAGCCTTAATAGGGAGCTCAGACCTGCACAATAATGTAAAAAACATTTGTATTTTAATTTCACTAAATATAAAGATACAGCACATTAAAATTTGGATAAATGATAGTTTTTAGTACCTGTTCATTAGAGGACTAAGTAAGTGTTTACTTCTTTTCAAAAATCAACAAAATATTTCAGAACATTGGCCCAGTGGCCAAACCTTTACATATAACTGTGATGTTATGGTGGCTTTTGGTTTCTCTTGTTAGTTTTCTGTTTATGCTCTAATTGAATTGCAACCTACTCTGTCATCTTTATCTCTAACAGTACTGTACCCATTTCTGTATGTTCCATCTCTCTATTTGAGCACTTCTCTCTTTCTCCGTACCTCTCACACCCCCGAGGAGAGGGGTTCCATATTGCAGTGGTGGTTTTAAACGTTGTCCCCCTTCTGCTAGAGTCTTGTTGCTGCAGGTTTAACCTGAATGTCATGGGAACATCATACATATCTCTCTGATGATCCATCAGCTTGGTAGCAGCAGTCCTCTATACATCACTCAATACAAGGTTAGGTATTGGCTAGGTATTGGTTAAGTTTATGTTCACATTCTAGGTATTGGTTAAGTGTGGTGAGAGTTGAATCCCAAAGTAAACGTCAACAATCTGATATTTTTTTATCATAGAAAATCTTAATAAATCTACTTCTCAGACTCATTTTACAGATTGAGCCATTAAAATGTGCTATATTCAGTTTTGAAAGTTAAAAAACCTTTTTTAGCTGTTAAACAGCTTGTCGGAAACTGCAGCTATTGACAGTTGTCCTTGTTCTGCAGCCTAGGAGTTAAAAAAACGTATAGATGGACTTTTAGAATAAAATCACAGCGATAGCAGAATGCAGACATTTGTAAGTTTGGCCTCTTGAGTTGAAGTGATTGGCTTTCAGTCCAGGTTACCATATGCACAACTCAGCATGTGATCATATGACTTCAACTAAATATGTGGGGAGAGTTGTGATTCAGGTTGTGAATCATGATTCTGTTAAAAAAGATTGGTTTTCATTAACTTTTTCTTCCTCTCAGCTGTGACCTTAGATCGAGAGACTTGCATCTGTGGCACATTTGAATGATTTTCATACAGAACCCTACTCAAGGTCACACAGCATTAGAAACCTGAAGAAAACACAGACTAATCTCTCTCTAATTCCAGTTTGACGGTGCTGACTAAGACCAAGACCCAAGTGAAACTATTCTATAAAATATCTGGTACTGATGATCATGGTCTCAGCACAGCTGCCACTTAGCTCGACATGAGAAAATGGTTGAGTCCATGTGTAGTGTGGCAGTGGTCATAGAAATACTTCATATTTCATGTTTTGCAGAACCTTTTGCCTCAACGTCTCTAGGTTGAAATGGAACACATTTAATTCGTAGCTTTTTCACCTTCACACTTATGTCAAGAATCTTGGAGGTCCTGGTATTTTGGATTTTTTATGAAAAACAAACTGAAAGTCATGTGTCAGCAAAATGTACTGATTATGAATGATCCATTCCAAGATTATTACTTTATGCCACAATGAAAGGTCTCACGGGATGTTTGACCTCCTGCTAAGGACAAATTAATTTGTTCGATTTATCTCTTCATCCATTGTTAAGATTTGAAAAGTTTGGAAAAGTTTTTAAGAAGTTAATATTCCATTAAGGCAATCAAATTGCAGTTGTATTGTTTATGTCCATTGACAGTTCCTGCCAACAGTTACCTCCAGATACAAGTGATCAAGCATCTGTCAATTTAGGCAGATGGTGGTCATGGTGACTGACTTCACATTCCTATGCAATATATCAAGAGTGACGGAGGGCGTTTTCATACATCAGGCTCAGATGCTCAGCAGTCATAAGGATGTCCTCAGAATTTAGTGAATCACAGGTCAAGGTCAAAGTGATTTGGAACTTGCTGACACATTTTCAGATAAATATTACATAGGATACAGTGACGGATGACATTTTATATCCGTAAGGTCAACAGCAGTGCAACTGTGAGATCATAATTGTCTGCAAAAACACGTTTCTGGCCATTATTTAACACAATAACTCAGGAACAGAAGGGAGCTTGTGGCCATGTTTCCTGCAGCTTGACTGGCTGGCGTGAGAAGTGCATCCGCGAGGCGGTAACTCCAGATTCCTGATGTCTTCATCCATCCATCCATTCTTTGATGTGTTATTTTCTACCTTCCTCTCATCCTTTTATTTTCCTCACTGATAAATGCATCCAGCAGGGAGTGTGTTTGAGTGTGTGTGCGCATCTGTGCATGTATGTTAACAAAACTGGAAGGTGTGTGTATGTGTGCGCGCGTGTCGAAACAATGCAGCAATCATTCAGACTCCGTTGATGTCCCACTGATGCTGTTTACTGACCTCTGCTTTGGTTTTGTCCTCCTTTCCTCCTCTCTCCCTCCCCCACCTGATCCCCTTCCTTTACTCATTTTCTCTCCATTTTACCCTCCATATATCTTTAAATACTCTACACCCCCCAATGTATATATACACCACAATTTACTGAAATTTCTTTCATCTCCATTTCCTTTCCTCCCTCTTCACTTTTCTCATTCTGGTCTAACCTGACTTTGGCTTTGCTGTTATGACCCACTCTCCAAATCCCCCCAATATTCTCCATCTTTGCTCCACTCCTCATCATCTCGGAAACCACCACCTCCCCCCTTGTCCAACGCTGGGCGGTCTGATCTCTACCTTCGTCTCTCCTTCTTCCTCCTCCTCTGCTCCTCCTCTTCCTGTCCTCTGCTCTGCGGTCTCTCTCTCTAAAGATGGTCACGCCTCAAAGTCTCTTTACCCTCTTCGGTATGTTCAACCTCTACTATTCTATCTGTATATCTCTCTCTGTTAATCCAATTTTGTTCACTTTCTTCAGTGATGTCGTGGACACGCTTGTTCCTCTGTATCTCTGTGTCTCCAAGCCTCCCTCGATCATATTGTACATTACAGAGTTAAATCTGCTTCTGTCTACTTTTAAAACAGCGAGTGTGAGAGATAATGTGTTTGCTCAGCTTTACACTTAACTGATGGAAACAAATACACCAAAATCATTTATGTGTTGTTGAATCCCATAAAAGCTAAATCAAATTCACGGTTACTATGTTGCTTCCAATCATTATTCCATCACATACTGTATTTCTTGAGGTGCAACTTTGTTTAGATTGGATTCGGAGCCTCTACTTTGGGCATTTTGTAAATTTGCCCAAGCTTTAATATTAAAGGCTTGTCATAGCTCTGGAAATCTTGTGCTATACTTTCTTCAGTTCCCTTTTCTTAAAGAATCTGATGAGAATTTGCTGTGAAACCTCCACATCTAGACTTAGGCTACATCCATGCTACTACGTTTTAGTTTGAAAACAGCATTTTCAAACTAAAACAATCCCTGTTCACAAAAGTCTTTTGGCTCTTTATCACTGTTAGTCCCTGACTCCCATCCATACTAACACACCTGAAAACACATATCACTCGCGTACACTGGGCATGTGCGTGCCAGTGTAAACAGAAACGAATGCACCTGCAGATTGCTTGGAATAATGGCTTCTTTCCTACAAGTGTCATTGTAAATACAGACTTTGATGCACAACAGCTGTTCGCAAAGACAAGAGGGTCAACAACCGTTATAATTGATTATCCATGTTGAATTCTATGCTGGTAGCCGAGGCTGATGCCGGTTGTTTTCCTCCGGTTCATGTGATAGGAGCCTGAAGAATCAGTGAAGGCTACTTCGTGACCGCAAAGACCCAAACAGCGAGCGGTTGTGAGTGTCTATGTCATCGTTTCCAAACATCTCCGTTTCTGGCCGTCCAAACTAAAACTGGGCCAGCAGCGTTTCCAAACTTCTTCTTTTAAGTGTCTCTTAAACTCCAGATTTGTGTGGATGGCGGGTGTATCTATAGCACAGTTAATGCAATCAAAACAAAAGTAGTATGGATGTAGCATTAGACCGGTTAGGGACTGAGTGCCAAGTCTGCACCTTTACAGCTGCCTCACAATAAATGCTGCTGTCATATATTTTTATATTTAACAGCCACATCATTGGCAAAAAAACTGAATTAATTCAAGTACAGACAAAATTGGATTGAATCTGTTAATTCAAGGAGGAGGAGGAAGAAGTAGTGGAAGAAGAAGAAGAAAGGGTTGGTTCTGATAGTGGTTATTAAAAATTCAATCTGTTACCTGTTTGTGAAATGCTAGATTAACTAAACTCTGACGCAAACAAACCTCTTATTGAACATTCTATCTCTCATTGCTCAATAATCAATGTAATTTTAAATTATAGTTTCTCATTTTAATTTTAATTCAAGTCTCTTGATTTGAACACAGATTATTAGAGAGTCAGTGGATGATACAGGATTTTCAAATAATTGATTCACTATTTGCTTCACTAATAACTACTAGTATCTATTAATGTGTAGAACACTGGAGCCTCCACCCTGCCAATAACACAAGGATTGTTTTTAGCGTTTATGTTCTCACCACATTAATGGTTAAGTTGATCACAAAAATCACTTGCACTGACAAAGAATGACTCAAGACTTAAAGTCCTCTGCATTTCTTCCTTTCCTTTTGCCTCCTTCTCTAGATGTAAATTGAGTGCAATCATACTTCACCTTTGTGTTGCTCTACTACAGTTTGCAGTGAGGATTGCTTGGCACTCAGTCACATAAATAAAAACGTATCACAGGGCTTTCATGAGACAGTCATTCAGCACAGCAATATTTACATATTTACGAAAGGCCTTAAAAGAACATTATTTTTATGGTCTTTGTTGAATTACTGTACATGTTTCCTCATGCAGTATGTTTTGTCTTAGGTTAGTACATAGGTTTAGTGAAAGACGCCCTTGCTCCTATAGTAGTTTCACATCATCTAATCAAACTGGATATCCTCATCAAACAGCTTCAGGCGTGTGTCAGTGGTAAAGCTGAGGTGTTTGTCTTTTCTCACCAATCAGACAACTTGGTTACACAGAAGAGTTGAATGAGTTTCTAGTGGAAGTCAAATCGGAAGAGTCCATCTTTTCCTTTCATTTGTCTTTCTGGCACTAACTTTTTTCCTTCCATCCTTCACACCTCTCCTTTTTTTTTTATCTTCGTCGGCTACATCTCTCCTGCTCTGTCTGTTCTGTCCTCTTCCTCGCCTTTGCTCTACCCTGCTCTCTCTTGCTCGCTCTCTCCCTCTCTCGGTCTGCCTCTCTCTCTCTCTACCTTCAGGTGTCTATGGCGATGTGCAGAGGGTGAAGATCCTCTACAACAAAAAGGACAGTGCTCTGATCCAGCTGTCAGATGGCAACCAGGCTCAGCTGGGTGAGTTATGGATGAGAATGTTTCATATCTGTTACTGCTATTTATTTTTTTCTTTCCCCAAATCAGAAGTGGTTGTTCATGTCCCGATGACGTCACTTGCAGGTCCCCGTTATGTAGATAAATGTTAACGGTGTCTGCTCAGTTTAACCATATTGGCTTATGTGGACATTGAGACATCATGTTGGATGATGGGCTCAACATCATGATGGCTTCAGCCACACACACACACACCCTGTTTCATGGATGAGATATGATAAATCAACCTGGGGCACTGTATCAGCAAATACAGTCTGGCTTTTCGACTTCTTACCTTCTCGTATTTATCTTTTTCTCTCATCTGTAGCTATGAGCCATTTGAATGGTCAGAAGGTGTTTGGTAAAGTGATGAGAGTGACACTGTCAAAACATCAGACTGTGGCTTTACCCAGAGAAGGACTGGATGATCAACTACTAACTAAAGGTGAGAGTACTGAAAGTACAACTTTACCAGAGTTATGGACTAAACCATTAAAACATGACAAAGGATTAGAGGTGTACGGAGCCCCTGAACTGCAGAAGCCTCTTAGATGAGTTAAATTAAACATTTCACTTAATCACTCAATGTAGCCTCGCACTCCCTCCCTCGATCTTCATTAGAATGAATCAAGTCATAAAATGGCGACATCAATATTTTCCTGTGTGCCTTTTGCCGTTGGTGACCCCATTGTTTTCAGTTTATAGCAGCAATAATATACAGTTCTAAGGCCTAGGTTGAAGTAACAATAACAGAATATTAATCATATACCACCAATAACTATAATATTTCACATTTATATGTATAATATATGCTATTATGGCTGTATATTTTTTTCCTTTGACAGATTTCTCTGGCTCTCCACTCCATCGCTTTAAGAAGCCAGGATCCAAGAACTTCCAGAATATCTTTCCTCCCTCCGCAACACTTCATCTCTCCAACATCCGGTATTTTAACAGTACACATATTCCTCAAATTACTTTTCTCACACTCAATACTGCACCAGTCTATTTGATTTCATGCTGCTTTGCTTCAGTACCATAAGCAGTTTGTGTTTTGAATGCTCAGGGATGGTGTTGGAGAGGAGGATCTTCGTCTTCTGTTCTCAAACAGTGGAGGAACTGTAAAGGCCTTCAAGTTCTTCCAGTAAGAAACAGTTCAGTTTCATGTCAAGCTGGTTAAGACACAAAAAATATGTTTTTATACTGGCATTTTTTATTTTTAGAATGTAAAAGAGATGATCTATGGAACCACATTTGTAATATCCCTCCTATTCTCCTTTGAATTCTATGTATAAGATAATTGCCTCGTTATGTTCTAGATTGACCTGAATAGAAACTAAACAGAGCCATGCTCACAGACTTCCCAAAATTCAGCTGTTTGTCTTTGCTCTTTCTTCACCAGGGACCGTAAGATGGCCTTGATCCAGATGTCGTCAGTTGAGGAGGCGATCCAAGCACTGATGGATCTTCACAACTATGACATGGGAGGGAATCACCATCTAAAAGTTTCCTTTTCAAAGTCCACCATCTAACTTTCACACCCAACTTCTTCAGCTCAAGATCCATGACGAGTGAGGAAGTCCCCACTGTTTTTCCTCTTATTCATTGATTCTGTTACTTCTGCACTGTCCCTAAACCTTAAATCAAGTACTGCAATATCACCAATCATGTGAAATCAAAGTTTCAGTTCAAATACTCCAAATTCCTCAAAGTAAACTCTTGACCAATGGAAGCAGCATTTACCCGTGGCCCATACGCAATTTGTAAAATGTCCAAATCCCTGCTTTCCCCCTCACAGCATCTTAAAGTGCAGCTTCTGAGGATCGTGATCTGCAGAGGTTTAACTTTTTACCTGGTTGTGTTGTAGACATGTACTTTTGGGTGTGTCCGTACATTGTGACATCACTGATGGGTGTGGCTACAGGTACTGCAGAGCGTGCTTCAGACCACACCCAGCAGTGAGCAGAGTGTTGGTGTGAAACCTGTCAACGTGACATGAATGAGCTTCGAGTTCTGTCATCAATGATTCTTCTTCTGTACATTTTTTAATGACCCGAACCTTTTCTGTTAGCAGGCTAGCACCAGTTTTAACCCCACCATACTGTTGTCCAGTCACTCTATACATCTTTTTGTGGTAGTTGCTCCAACACAAACCTCTTACATAATTAATGCAGTCATTAATTATTCAAGTCCTCTTCTCCTTTCATTCGTTTGAAGATGTTTGTTTCACAGAGTGGTTTCTGACACACATCCTCATTGTGCTTATTCATTACTCTAAACCTGAAATGAATCATTTTAAAATGCATCAAGTCTAAAGGAGGAGATGGTATTTTCACTGAAGTGGGATTCACACTATCCTCTCATCTCCTCTTCTACAATCTTCTATATCTACAATCACTTCAATGATTTCCAGACATCACTGAAATTTGAGGACGCTGAAACCCATAAATCCTCAAATCAAATAGAAATTATGTATTTAGTGCAATTTCCAATTTGAGTAAGGATATTTTGTGACTGTAAACAATCACTCTGAAGCCATTTATGTATGATGCCTTTTTGATTTAAAGCAGAAGGTTCGTTGTAGCTGTTCTATTGGGATGTTTAGACGCATTCTGGAAAGTTTGATGCTTGTTGAGGACAATTGGGTGTTTCCCAAATTTTCTTTACAAAATAACTTGGAATGTATTGACATTAACACTAACAGTAATGACTCAAAGGTGGAGCTGAAATTTTCTAAATCCTATCCCTCTCTTTTTAAAACCATAGCTGTGAGTGCCCTCTTTCTCTCTCTCTCTCTCTCCCACACACACACGCATACCCAGATGATGCGTGTTCATGCTTTCTGTTTAGATATGAGGTTTAGGTCTTGGTCTCTGATTTTGGAAGGAGACCTGTTAGGACCAAAGTACATGCGCCTTTAGTCTGTGGTCTGATTTTACTGTCGATTCTTTTGTGTCTTCAAACAATGAATTTTACCGACAATGTTTGTTTAACCTTGGTTGTAAACCTGAAGAAGCAGATTATTTTATTTTATAAATAGAACCTCCTCTTCCCAGTCAGACAACATGAGCTTATTTATCATGCAGAGATGCACAGCAATCTGAGGTCGTCTCCAGTGTTTCTAATTTTTTACTCATCTGTGGTTCTTTCTTGCAGCTGCAGTTTATTTTTGGATTGATTTCATTTTTTTCTTGAAGGGGGTTGTTTTCATTTCTTCACCTCAGTTTTTATTATGTTCATTTTTGTCATTAGATTTCAGATCAGCACAAATTAAAAACATCTTTTCTACCAAGGAGGCAAAGTAAAATTGTGTTTGTGTTGTTTATAGTAGCTTCAGACCTCTGCTCTCATCTGTCTCACTGTCAACCTGTCAATAAACTTCTCTCACTCTGTTCAGTTCTGTCTCTCTGCTCTCACTTCTTTCTCTTCACTCCCTCCTCCCAGCTCTTCTGTTCTTTCTACGCTACTGCCGAGACATGATCCAGTGTGAGCAGTGTGTCCGCGCCATGGGGACTCTACACTCCTTTACTCGTCTATACTCTTTTAACTTATGGAGTGTGTTCAGCACTAATTAGTCTAGGTCCTGTTGTAAGTAAATGTTGTACATTAAGTGGCAGCTGTGGCTCAGGAGATAGAACTGGTCATACACTAATCAGAAGGTCAGAGGTTTGATCCTCGTAGCTTCCATATTGTGATCAAGAAAGATTTAGATGTACAAACGTATGAATGTGTGGGTGAAAGGCAAAAGTGTAAAGGGCTTTGAGAGGCCATCAGACTAGAAAAGGGCTATTTAAATACCATTTACATGATTATAAATGAAACTGTAATTTCAGACTTTTTAAAACTTGGTTTTGTATAAAGGCAACTGATCCATGAAATGTTGTAGTGTTGCTGACTAAACGTATCTAACTCCTGTCGGAGAAGAACAGAAATGTGAGGCTGCAGCGACAGACTCATCAACACTGGACAGTTGAAGACTGGAACACGTAGCCTGGTCTGATGAATGTAGATCTCTGCTGAGGCTGCAGATGGTAGAGTCACAGGCTGCTGGAGCTGTGTTGGTGTAGACAATGTTTTCTTCACACACTTTGGTCTCAAACTGGTTACGTGTGAATCCAGTAGTTTTGTGATGTGGTACAACAGCAGGTTGTCTGAATCCCTGGACCAGCATGAAGAACCTCCCTCCACACCCACAGGTAAAGTGACCTTGAGCAAGGCACATAACCCTCTAACTTCTCTCTGAGTGGCCATCTGTCTGTACGAGTATATTTCACTGTCATGTTTTTTTTCACTAACCAGTTACATGCACTAATATGATTACTCTAAACCAGACCCCCTTAATTGCAGGTACACAGGACGGTTCCTTTCCCATGATGCTGGTTTATATAAAAAGCCATTTTGCTCACACTGGATTATGCTCCATCACATTGTCATTCATTAATCAGAGCTTCGCAGAGCAGCTTTATTCTAAACATAAAACTGTATCGAGTGAAACAACACCAAGTGAAACCTTTGCTCTCTTCTGTCAGTCTTACTTTGATGTCTTTATCAAATCATCACTAATGAAGGTCTTATTATGGCACAGTGAGTACTCACAGAGGAGAACAGTAACTATAGACAAACTCATTCTGGATAATTGCATCTTTGAGGGGTGATCTGGTCGAGCTGCTGTGGCCTTAGCAGCTGCACGGCCTGGTTTGTAATCTGTGATAAAGTGATGGCTGCGATCAGCTGCACAAACAGTCAGCAAACACAGCTCCACTTGCACACGAGGACAGTCAGGATGGGGAGTTCACACTGTGGAGTCACCGCAGAAGACTTCACAGATTTAAACAAACTCAGTTGAGTGCATACCTCCCCCAAGGCCCAACATTCCTCTTATGAGACCAGTTAAATTCACCAGATCCAGGTTTTTATTTGGATCTGTACACACTCAAATATCAGTCCCATTCTGGATCGGCTAATCTGGCCCCCCTCTCCACAAGATTTCATGGAAATCGGTCGAGTAGTATTTGCAGAATCTGCTAACTAACAAACATTAAAACAAATAAATGCAGACAAAAACAAAACCTGCTGGAGGTAAAGCTGATATAAGCATTCAGTGGAGTCTGTTTTTCCACCAGGGGCCTTGAGGGGTTGTCCATCTGTCCCGTTCTCATGAATGCTATATCTCGAGGACACCTCGAGGGAGCTTCTTCAAATCCGGTACAAATATTCACTTTGAGTCAAAGATAAACTGATAAGATTTTGATGGTCAAAGGTCAAGGTGATGTCACCTGACATTGCTGTTAACGCCATACATCAGGAATGCTCAAAGGGAATTATCATTACATCAGGAATGTATAAACATTCAGTTGGCAATAAGGATGAACTGATTAGTGTTTGATGGTCAAAGGTCACTGTGACCTCACAAAACACATTTTGGCCTCTTGACCGTGATATCTCAGGAATCACCTCGAGGGAATTCTTTCAAATTAGGCATTGATTCCAGTGGTCAAAGGTAAAGTTCACCGTGACCTTATATGAATCTCATAAACAAATGTATGTAGATGCACTGTTTGGCAGAGGCATACAACAGCGTTGCAGCCTTTCTTTATCTGAATGGTGCAGTTTGTTATTTGCTTCTTTTTTACAGACTCTATTTACCTTTGCAGGCTGTTCATCAGCTGCGTGTGTTTGTGGAGTCGCTCAGTCTTTCTCCCTGCAGGTATATGGTTTGTTGTTTGGCTTTGTTCATTACACTTCAGGTTCCATATGTGCAGTGCCAGCTGCTAACTGTTTTTCAGACTTCACATTGCCTTTTTTTATAAATCAATCTTCAGTTTAAAAAAACCATGTGGTCCACTCCTCTGTTCTCCTGGTTGTCATACATTAGGGTGGATAAAGGGGGAGTTTTGTGGTACAGGGTTGGCCCAGTTGGGTGTAATAGATGGTGGGGGTTTGTAACCCGTCCAATAATCCTACCTGTACAACCCTCCCAGTTATAGATACAGTGCAGCACCAACACAACTTTTACTATTCGTATTATCTGGCATTGCTGATGTTTATATTATTATTTTTTTTATTTTCTATGGTATATCAAGAGGAATAAATCATAATTTAGGCAAGTTTTTCACCCTGCCATTTGACCTGAACCCAAAATTAAGCCTTTATAAAAAGATCGAATGTCAACCAGTGAGTTGACAAATGTAATTAGTGGAATTACCCTTTTAATGCAAAATGTTGGCATTCGATGCAGGTCCTCTGTAATCCACCAGAGGTCAGTGTGAGCTTAACCCTGCAGCCAGCACCAGTCTGTCAGCAGCCTGCATGGTGGGAGACAATAATCAGAGAAGGAAAAAAAGTTAGAAAAATCTCTCAATTAAGCCCCTAGCTACAGAAAACACTGCAGCTGCATCACAGGAATAAAACAACTCAAATATATGACAATATAATCTGCTCGTTTGTCTGTGTTATCAGTAAAGTCAATCCCCCTGTATGTTTCATAACCAGGTCCTTATTTCATGGCCCAGAACACACACACACACACACACACACACACACACACACACACACAATGTTTACAGGGAGAATACAGGGGGATAGAATTACACAGTCTAGGATGAGATCATCAGCTGTAGCCTCTGATAGAGCTTTAACCCAGGTGATGAGACAGGACCTGAATGAGCACACACACACTCACACACACTCACACAATAACCCGTCTGTCTCCCTGTGTTTACATAACTATAATATTCAAATATTAATAGACTTTCACATACATGAAACTTCTTTCCCAACCTTCATTCATGTCACTGTGACACACTTATCTCAATCTGAGCTTTTTCAGAGCTTTGATCTACATCTCGTGGTCTCAGGTCAGTTGAATTATTTAGTCTTTACAGAAAGTTTCGCTGGTCCAATATAGTTCAATGCCCACAGCTTTCATAGTAGTTCCAGCAAAACCTATTGACAGAACATGTCTGCAGTTTATTCAGAATAAAATGGATGAAGTATCTGTGAAGTAATCCTTTATTCTCCTCCTGTTTTTGCATTTGATCAACTTCTCCCTCTCCCTCTCCTCCTGGCGTTGACTGTGGTCTCCTGCAGTTTTATGTATGATCCTCCTGAAACGGAAGCACCTCTCCGATCACTCACACCCCAGGTGACAATCTACACGGACGCAAAACAGAGAAACTAAAGCATAAAACCTTCAACTAATATAACATCAACCCAAGTATATATATATATTAACAAAGTGGTTATCAAGCAGAACATTCACTCTGGAAACGTCATGGATAGGTAATGACATGTCCGGGGGTCTACACATGCTAATATTGACATGATAGTGAATGGTGACATCTTTTTGTGTTGAAAGAAAGAAAGAAAGAAACTGTGAGAGGAAGGAAGGACATTAGTGCTCATACTGATCCATATAACCTCCCAGCTGACCAATAACATGCAGCCTCCCTGATGACCTCAGAGCCCCTCCCTTGTGTTCAGTGATGCAGATGATCCATGCTGTGGTTTATCTGCTCACCCCCTCCCCCAACATACCTCCATTGTCCTCACACAGTCCTTGGTGGCGTGGGGGAGGGGAGAGTGGGAGGGAGGTGAGGAGGGGGAGGGGAGAGGCGGTGGGTTGGGGGGTGTTAGGTCAGGAGGAGAGCAGGAGGCGCAGTGCTTGCCAACACACACTCACACTGAAGAGGGTATAACAAGGATCCATAACCTGCAGTGACATCAGTGTTTGTGATGATGTCATACTGTCTCCTAACACACAGCTCCGTTATAAACAAAGAGTGGACGACACGCGTCCGTCATGTTGATTGAGGAAGTAAAAAGCTGAGACTGTGGTGCTGTCTGATGGAGAAGCTGCTTCTCTTCCTGCAGATGTGTTTGAGTCAGTCGCATCCATAACTGTGACATCACTGATCGTGTGGTCAGAAGCCGCACAAAGCAAAGGTCAGTATCTCCAAACCATAACCATGACTCCGTCCATCTCAACTAGAATAAACAACAACCGGACCCCAGCTCTTACCTCAACCCTGACCTAACGGGCTGGAGACAGTGCGGAGGCTCTCACTCCTCCAGAGAGCGTGAGGACATGTGTGGAAGCAGCTTCACTGTTCATTCACACCAGAGGGTCGCAAATTTCCAGAGTCGTGAGGTTCCCGTGCTCTGAAGTTGGAATGGGAGAAAATGGGATGTGATTTGTTTAAGAACACTGTGACACCTCTTTCCAGTGTGTACGTTATAATGAGGAGCAAAGAAAAAGGATCAGGTGTGGCAGGTATATAAATAATTTCAAGCATAAATCATAAAAACTGTCTGTGTTGGCTAAAAAGTCTGGTGTTAGTTGCTTTAGACAAAAGTGTAACATTTGACAAGCTCACTTTAAAAGGTATGTGGA